TGCAGCCAGTTGGGGGCATGTTGACTAAGCACTGGCCAACAGATATGAGTAGAAGATATGTATGCTTTTTGCTTCACTTGCTTTGGAATAAACCTCAATTCTGGGCTTATTTCTCCCTCCTTATTAACTAGATATGCTCCAGTTAGAATGAACTTGGAAGTTTGGATGCCAGTCATCATCCCACCTCCCGGAATGACTTAGGAGAGCAGAGAGCATCTGCCTACCCCACAGCAGACACCCTCTTTCAGAGAATGTCCCTCAGCTGATGGGAACTTCATGCAACTTCCTTGCATGCCCACTTTCCCCCACTCTGCTAGAGTGTCCTACAACCAATGGTTAACTTTTATAAAAAGCCAATCCTTCTGTTTCAGTGGGCTCTAATTATTCCATGTGGTTTACACCTCAGTCTTGTTCCTTAAGGATCACATTTAAGTGAGACTTGACCTGAAACCACAACACAGTTGAGTCTTTTCCTTTCTTCTCTCTCCTATGTAGGTTTTTCATAAAATGTATCCCTTCAATAAATGTTGTGTCCTATTGAGTTGCAACTGCCTAGTAGCTGACTGATCCTCCAGAGGGTTTTCAGAGTCAATCTGCTTCTGGGGAACCCCAAATCTAACCTCATTGATGTCAATACTGCCAACATTTTCCCAAATCCTCTTCCCATTCATTCCTGGGACCTATTCAGATATGGGCTTTGTGTGCCCAGGAGCTCTAACTAAGTGTGATGGTAAAGCTCTATCAAAGACACGCGGGATCCTTTGAAGGTCTTTATGAAGGTCTTGAAGGTTAAATGACTTAATGTGGGTACAATGCCTACACTTGTTAAGAACTGTTGAATGCGACCAACTCATAACTGAACGTCCAGGGGCCTTAAATCACACAGAAGCAACTTGCCCATATTTCTTTCACGGATAAGTAGGTGGACTCGAACTACATTTGAATTGATAGCTCATTTCCTCATCACTTAGCCACCAGAGCTCCCCGGCACATAGTAGTCATTCAGTAAGTCTCTTGAATGAATGACTAGTGAAATTTTGTTTTGAAGGTTCAAGGTGATGTGCTGAGCAATAACCAGCAGAGGGCAGCATCAAGTGCAGATGGGATCCTATGGGGCCTGTAGAGCCAGAGCTCCCAGATTGTGGAAGGTGAGAGGGGTAGAACTTGAGGTGAGCTGAGGGTAATATCTGTCCCCTAGAATATGAAATGTTTAGATTATGCTGTTTTAAAATCCTAGACTTTTACTTAGTCCAGTGCTGGGTGTGTGCAACAAAATACACAGAGGATTTTTGTGGATTTGATTTAAACCAGTAAATCATTCCAGATTCTCAGATCTCTGGTGTTGCTTTGGTTCTTTTGAATTTGTTAACCCAAGTCATTGCCATCCAGCAGTTCAGACCTGTCCCTCCAGTGGGTTTTCCGGGGCTGTTAATCAAAGGGAGATTTCCCATCTTTCTCCACAGTAGCTGTTCACAGATTCGAACTACTGAGAGACAAAGCCTTTGGGTTAGCAGTGTAATTCCTTACAGACTGTATGCCATGAGGGATCCCTTTGAATTTATTAGTTACCCCATTAGCCTCTGAATTGATCCTTTTGTTGTTGTTGTTCATGTTAATAATGCTGGTTTTCTATAACTTGTTGGGTAAAATAATTTTTATTAAGACCCACAAACATGGCTCCAACCATTTTCATGAGGAAGAAATTCTCCCTACTTTCTGCTATCAAGTTTGTCTTTTGCCTTGTTCCCTGTGGTACTCATTGATTTTGCCCACTAGTTCTGGTTTAGCTTTCAAAACCCAAATTCCTTTTATCTTGTCTAGATCACTTTTCAAACACCTTGTAGCATCATCACCTAATCATTCTTACACTTACTTGGTTTTATCCCATGTTTTATTTGGAATAAATGGTGTCTAAAAGTCCCACACAGCTGTAGACTTCTGAATCCATTGTCTTCCCATATGTCTCATTTCCTGAAGTGGGGCTCACCTCCCCACTCAAGCAGAGATAAGGAAGGATGGCACACATGGGGGAATCAGCACAGACTCTCAGGGAGTCAATAAAGCAGCCAACAGGAGCAAGTGTGATATAATTCAGGAAACACAGACACTCAGTTATATTGTTTAAAAGTAGTTTAAAATCAAAGACTCTCAACCACATGGATTGATTCAGTGACTGCAGCAAAGGGCTCAAGTATGTTTGAGATTGTGACCATGGTACAGGATAGGACAGAGTTCAGATCTATTGTTCATAGCCTCACATGGGTTGTACTTAACTCAGTAGCATGTAACAACAGCAACAACAATAGTATGTCTAAATTGTGGAAGACAAAGTTTTGCTGTTCTTCTTTCTAAGGATTCGGACTATAGAATCTTTTGTTCACTTGACAGTCCATGGTAAACTCAATGTTCTTTAAGAATATCACAATTAAAATCAAATCTTAAAAAAATGTAGTTTAAATCAAATATGGCATAAGTGTATAAAGAAAGAGAATATTTCCCATAATTCTACTCCTCTGAGAAGTGTTGTTAAAGTGTTTCATTTTTGCTAAGCACAAATAAGTACATTCCCCTGGGGCTTTCTGGAAGACCTCATGGAGATTCCTTAAACTGCAACTTGACAATTAGAACAATGAGCAGTACTAACCTAGGATTTGGAGCAAATGGCTGAGAAAGCCTTCACATAGCCACAATGCAGGATTGACTTCCATAAAACTACTGATCATTTACTGGGTTTTGACCTACAAGAACAGCAGTTTCTTACTGCTCAACCTAATGTACAAGAAGCCTAGCCTAGAATGTCAGATCTGGTTAGGGCCGTTAGAGACTCTGAAGTCACTATTGTATAAATGAGGAGAAAGGATCAGAGAGAAGTGTCCTGCCCAAGACACACTTGGAAGAACAAGGGCTAATTCTCTCTCCACTGAACCTTGTACCTGAATTTCACACTATTTCCCTTAATGCCATATTTGATAAGCAATGGGTGGAAGGAAACCGCAAGGAAACAGGTTTCAACTTGGTGTTAGAAGAATTTCTCACAATCAAGACTCAATAAGAAAACCAAACAAAAATAAATAAAAACCTCAGTCAAATTGGAAGAGGCTGCCCTGGAGGTAGTGAAATCATATGATTTGAGTTGGAAACGATACTATAACATGGTAACTAAAGACATCAGTGAATCCTGGAGCTGTGGAACTCTTAGGTTTACATTCAGTGCCCCACTCTTGCGTGAGGGAGCTCCTGTGACAGACTGGTTAGAGGTTGTGCTGTCAAACTGAAGGCAAGTGGTTCGAATACATCAGCTGCTTAAAGGGAGAAAGATGAGTTTCTTCCTAAGGCACTATGGGAGGGGCTGTAGAAATATATTAATGTGGTGATAGTATTTGCAAAAGTAAGATTTTTCAAAGAGGTTCCACAGAATTAAATAAGCATCAGGTCCCAAAAAGGCATGGGCCCACGCCTACGTGTAACAGAGTTTTAGAAATACTGGGCAAGAAGATCAGAGACTTGGGTTCCAGTCTTAGGCACCACCTAAGCTGTACTGTTGGAGAAGAGCACTTAACATCCCATGGATGTTCTAATATGTCATGGCGAGGATGTAGCCAGAGTGCTCGTTGGAGGCAAGAATGATGAGGCTTCACCTCACGTACATTGGGCATGTTGCTAAGTGGGGCTATTCCTTGGAGAAGGACATGATGCTTGAAAGTATGGATGGTCGGTGAAGGAGAAAAAGACCCTCAACCAGGTGGATTCATACGGTGACTGCTGCAATGGGCTCTAATGTGTCAGGAAGTGGGAAGATGGCAAGGATAGCACAGGGTTCGGATCTGTTGTTCATAGGATGGCTGTTGTTGTTATGTGCCGTCGAATCGTTTGCGACTCATAGCGACCCTATGTACAACAGCCCTAAACCGTGCTCTATCCTGTGCCAATCTCATTGCCTCTGACAAACCCGAGTACCCCAGTCACTGAATCAATCCACCTCATAGAGGGTCTTCCCCTCCTGCGCTGTCCCTCCACTCTACCCAGCATGATGTCCCTCTCTAAAGACCTGTCTCTCCTTACAACATGTCCAAAGTATGTCAGACGAAGCCCCAGAATCCTTGCCTCCAAGGAGCAGCCTGGTTTAACCCTCTCTAGGGTGAATCTGTTTGTTTTCTTGGCAGTCCATGGTACATTCAATACTCTTCTCCAGCACCACAGCTCAAAGGCATCAATTCTCCTTTCCTCCCTAGTCATTGTCCAACTCTCTGATGCATAACAAGTGTTTGCAAAAACCATGGCCTGTATCAGGCGGACCTTAGTCTCCAGAGAGACACTGTTGCTTTTCATTATTTTGGAGAGGTCCCTAACCGCAGACTTTCCCATCGCAATACGTTTTTTTATTACCTATGTACATAGGATGGCTAGGAGTCGTATTTTACTTGACAGCGCCTAACAGCAACAACAAACCCAAATGAAAAGAATAGCACTTGCCTTGTCTACCTGGGTGTGGTGGCTGGGAGAGCAAAATCACAAATGTTAAATGTGTTAAAAAATATAAAATGTGAACAAACACAGGTTAAATGAAGTTGTGATCAATGTAATCTATCTGTGATACAAGATAATCAGTGCTGCTTCTCCTAGTTGTTGGAGACAACACACAGACAGAAAAACGCCCGAGTGCTTCCTCCTCTTTCATTGCCCTCTGCTACAACTTCTTCTCTTTCCTCTAACTCTTATCACTGAATATCTCTGGACAACCATTGATCATTATCTTTTGCTATTTCTGTGTTTGTTCATGGGGCTCTTACTGCCTATCATGTCGCTCTTTTCCTGAAAAAAAAAAAAATCCTTATCGACAAGTCACAGCTGTCAGCCCCTTCCTTTCACTCTTAGCACTGATCCTTACTGATATCACAGATAGGGACCCTGAAACCTACTGTGGTCTGAATCTGTGTTGTGAAGGTCTCAGAAAGCAAGTCTCAAGGGTGTTGGCCTGTGTGCTCCTTGGCCCCCAAATATCAGATTACAGACACGCGGTTCTTGATGTACACATGGTAGGGGTCACTGCGCTTGTCCACTTTCCTGGAGCGGGTATATCCCAGGATGAGGCTGCCCACCGTGACGGCAAACAGGAACATCACAAAGAGAATGTACATGTAGGAGTTGTCATCACGGCCGGGTGGAACAGCCTGCCGCTGCTCAGTTTGGTTGTCTGGTCCTGACCCCGGTTCAGGTCCTGGTCCTGGTCGGCAGAGTAAGCTGTTGTGGAGTGTCTCATTTAGGGCCTTCAGCACAGCATGCAGACTCCTGTACCATGTCTCAGTCCCATTTATGGACTCCATAACAATGGTATGGAGATAAAAGAAAAAAATCAGAGGATGCTCTGATGGAGAGAAAAAAACAAAAGGAGGACAACTCTGTTACCTGCAGTTCAAATGAGGTTCTCACTCTGCTTTCATCTCCTTCATGCCCTAGCTAAAGTCGCTAGATCACAGTTTATTCTAGGTATCCACTAATTTGTCTATTTTCCCCACTTGGGGCAAGTTCAATGAAGGGAGTATGTTTATTTTGTCACTATTATCTATTATGAGTTGACCCCTGATTCATGGAAACCCAGTGCCTAGTGGAATAGGACTATTGTGACCTGTTTTTATTGTTGGGTTTTTTAGAAGTAGATTACCAAGTCTTTCTTCTTAGTCCATCTCGATCTAGAACTGCTGCTAAAATATGTCTCGTGCCATAGCCACACAGAAGCCTCCACTGATAAATACATGTTGGCTATGCTTGGAGTGTACTGGTCAGCAAGCACTTCTGGGTTTCCTGTGTGGAAGGAGACAGTTCTGTTACTCAACAGCCACTGCCCTGTGTTTCTTCCACTCACTGCTCAATGCCAGCAGAAAAGCCCTGGAAGCACAGCACATTACATGTTTCTTTGCTGCTGCTCCTCCTATAAAACCTTGCAGCCTTGGAAACCTGGTGGAGGATCACGTCACCATGAGTCAATTCATGGCAGTGGCTTTTGGATACACCTGCACTTATGACACCACTCTATTAACTGTATGCAGAATGAACCTGCCCTGCCATTGTAACCCCTATCCCTACCTCCTTTTTTAAAAAATTCTGTAAACATAATAGTAAAACTGTAGAATTATTTAATCTCTTTCCATTTTGCACTTAGGGAAACTGAGGAGAGATTAAGTGATTTATCTATAATGACAGACATTAAAGGTAGAAACAAGAAGGAACTTGGCTCTCTGATGGCCAGTTAATTTTTCTTTCAACTTTGCCTGCTCTTGACAGGACTGTGTGGCACCATTAAATGGCATCCATTAGAACTCACTGTCAGTTTTTCCCTATTCCATAGGACTGCAGCCTTCAATATGGATTGAGGCTCAATGTCAAGAAGACAAAGATTCTCACCACTGGACCAATTGGCAGCATCAGGATGGATGGTGAAGAGATTGAGATTGTTCACAGCTTTAGTTTGCTTGGCTCCACAACCAACACTCTTGGCACCAGCAGCCAGGAAATGAAAAGACATATTGCCATGGGAAAGTCTGCTGTTAGTGACCTCTCAAAAGTACTCAAGAGCAACGGTGTGTCTCTGGAGACAAAGGTGCGTCTGATACAGGCCATGGTCTTTGCAGTCACTTGTTATGCATCAGAGAGCTGGACAATGACTAGGGAGGATAGAAGAAGAATTGATGCTTTTGAGCTTTGGTGTTGGAGAAGAGTGCTGAAGGTGCCATGGACTGCTAAGAGAACAAACAGATTCATCCTAGAGAGGGTTAAACCGGGCTGCTCCTTGGAGGCAAGGATTCTGAGGCTTCGTCTGACATACTTTGGTCATGTTGTAAGGAGAGACCAGTCCTTGGAGAGGGACATCATGCTTGGGAGGGTGGAGGGACAGTGCAGGAGTGGAAGGCCCTCTGGGAGATGGATTGATTCGGTCACTGGGCAATCGGGATGAGTGTGTTGGAGGCAATGAGATTGGCACAGGACAGAGCAGAGTTTAGAGCTGTTGTACATAGGGTCGCTGAGTCGCAAGCAACTCGACGGCACATAACTACAACAACAACATAGACCCCATTTAGAAGAAATTTGAGGATAGCTTTTATTTTACCTTGCCTGAGGCCAGAGGCTGAATCATTTGAACCTTCAAACATCTTATGTCTTGAAGATTCAAGGTATTTTACTCTAGCTATTTGAGGAAATTCTGCTGGAAAGGAAGTGGCTTGGAGAACAGCAGGGAGTTTAAAACTACAGTGGGGAAAAGGAAAGTGTTGGGGCAGACAAGGGACGTGGAAGGCACACTCAACATCTGCCTGCTCTAGAGAAAGATGACACAGGCCACCATGCACCTCAACTGTCCTATCCTCTAAAACAGTCACTTTATGCCTGGCACACAGCAGGTGGTAATAACTGTTCCTTTTCTTTCTCTCAAAGATCATTAGTCTATGCTATAGAAAACTAGCTTCCAATCTCGAACTCTCAAAGCCATAAGCCATTCTTTTTAAAGGGAAAGAGGCTCTACACTCTCCGCCTTCAGAAAGCTTTCATTAACTGCTCCCCATGCATCAACCACACTCCACAAGCTTTAGCAGTGCAGCCAGCTCCTCTCTGCCACTGCCCTAGCCTTATGTTGTTAATAAGGGTTTCCTCAGACCACATTCGCTGGTCAGCATGGCTATGGATTTCTTCCAGGACTAATGGCTATCCTGAGCCATGCTGAATGTTCTGTCTCCCTCGGTTGTCTCCTGTATTTATGTTCAATTTGGGAACTTCTCCTTAGGCCAAACACTCAGAGTTCAAGGAATGGTTCCAAAGCTTTCCTTCAAGTAGAAGAGGTAGGAGTAACCCATTATGCAGAACTGTCAATTAGCTAAAGTTAAGAAATAGTATTAGAACTATAAGGACTCTTTCCTGTAATAGATGACAGTTCTGGGCATGATTAATAGTCATGAACCTCTTTATGAATGGAAAAATCAGAGGAAAGAATAAAAATAATACAGCACTCATCCCAGACTAGATCATATTTCACAAAAGGCTTTAGGCCTTATGTTATTGAGAACTTGTGCTATATTGTTTGGACAAGAGGCAGGGGGTGGGGGGAAGGGCTCATTGAGTTATGATACAAAAGACATAAGCTTTCTCATCTCCTACCCTAAAGAGAAATTCCAAGAGAGAAAATTTTGCCTTCTTTTCTCTGGGCCAAAGGAAAGCAGAAGCAGCACAATGGACTTACTGGCTCAAGTAATCATTCAACCAGTTAGCATGTGCAGAAACCCACTCTGGGCCGGGTCCTGTGCTGAGAGCTTGGTAAAGCTCAGACCAACTCTCTGAACTTGAGTTTTTCAGCAGATTCATCACATTGCTCTGGTAGTTTGGCGGTGAGGAGTTTCACTGTCAACTTAAAGGCACAGAGTTCTAATCCAACTGCTCCATGGGAGAAAGCTAGGCAATCTCAATGCCATGTGCTTTACTGCCTCTGAAAACCTATAAGAGGGTCAGCTATGAGTCAGTTCCAACTCAACCCTAATAATAACAATAATTATGATGAGTATAATCAGAGGTTGAAGTATAAGATGCACGGAAAGATAACGTAGGACAGGGGACATGAGAGAATGGCAGGAGCCAGCTCACAGAGGCCTGGAGTAATGAATTTGAACTTTATCCCAATGGAATGTAGAGCTACTGACTGGTGTTTTTTTATTTTTAATTTCATTTTATTATTTTTGTGTGCATGTACCATCAAATCAGATCTGACTGCTACAGGAGGAGATTGCCCCTCCTTCCCCGGCAGAGCATCTGGTGGATTCGAACCATGCACCTCTGGGATTGTAGTTGCAGCTTCTTGCCACTAGGCCACCAGAGCTCACAGACAAGAGATCTGTGCTTTGGAAAGAACACTGGCTGCTTTGTGGACTGGATAGTTAAGGTGCCAGATGCTGGGTCCTGAGCTGCGGCAGAGGACAAAGAGGATGAAGAGGTAGGAGGCGTAGATATGAGATGTTAGAGGCATTTTGGGACAGGAATGGTTAAGACGAGGGCCAGGGGAAGACGGGGCCTCAAGACAGTCTGACAGGTAGATAATAAATAAAGTATTTGAGGGAAATTAGTTCCTTGTTTTATTTAGGCTTTAGTTTCCTCATTTGTCAAAAAAGATAATCTTTCCTGCCTTGTCTCCCTCAAGGGTTACTGTAAAAATATATTGTGATTAAGGGAAAAAATTCTGTATATACAAGATGGATTGATACAGTGACTGTAACAACAGGCTCAAATATATCAGAGCTGGGGAGGAGAGTGCAGGATAAGTCAGAGTTCGGATCTGTTGTTCATAGGATCACTACGAGCCATAGTCAACTGGATGGCATGTGACAGCAACAATTATAAATATACATGTACACACACACACATGTATACACATACATATGTAAGTTAGCTCTAACACCCTAGTGGGGAAAGGAGTTACGCTGCAAATCCAAAGGCTTGAGGTTTGAATCCACCAGCTGCTCTATGGGAGACAGATGGGCAATCTCTTCCTGTTTGATTTACAGCCTCTGGCTGCTGGGAAGGTCAGCTATCAGTTAGTTCAGACTCAGTGGCACATAACTATATGTGTCTGTATTTATCCACACATTCCTCTTCAGGACTTAGGTAACCATTCTTTTCTTTTTATTACTGTGTCTTGAGTGGAAGTTTATAAAGCAATTGGTTTTCCATTCAATCATTCTAATTTTTTTTTCATTTTGAAAACCAAATATATATGAAACCAAACCCAAACTTAATGCTGTCAAGTAGATTCTGACTCATAACAACTCTATCAGAAAGAGTAAAAACTGCCCTATAAGGTTGCCACAGCTATCTCTCTTTATGGAAGTACATTGCTTTTCTCTCCTGTGGAATGGCTAGTGGGTTCAAATCATCAGTTAGCACTGAGCACTTAACACATATATTGTTGTTATGTGCCGTCGAGTCGCTTGTGACTCATGGCGACCCTATGTACAACGGCCCTAAACTCTGCTCTGTCCTGTACCAATCGCACTGTCTCTGATACACCCATCCTGATTAACCCAGTCACTGAATCAATCCACCTCATAGAGGGACTTCCCCTCTGCGCTGTCCTTCCATCCTCCCAAGCATGATGTCCCTCTCCAATGACTGGTCTCTCCTCACAGCATGTCCAAAGTATGTTAGACGGAGCCTCAGAATCCTTGCCTCCAAGGAGCCACCCGGTTTAACCCTTTCCAGGACAAATCTGTTTGTTTTCCTAGCAGTCCATGCTACCCTCAATACTCTTCTCCAGCACCACAGCTCAAAGGCATCAATTCTCCTTCTATCC